TACCACGTCCACGGTTCTACTTTGGAAATGATCATGCAGACAATGGACCCCGGACTAGGTGCGTTCCAATGAATCATTCTGTTTAATCCGACCTGTGCATCAGGCACTCACGATAAGGGGACCGTCATGAAAATGATTCTAATTCTATACTAGGATCATATTTTAACTATAAGAGTCTTTCACGTACAGATTCGTAAATCAGAAGTTTGGTTGGGAAAGTTGGGTTACTTGTCCATTGATTCGAAGGGATATAGTTGATGTGTTTTGGCCGATATGCAAGACGATCTAATTTTATCCCCATCAAACAAGAAAAAACTTACTGCCAAGATGATCATTGCGCCTTGAAGATAGGGGAGCTTGCAGGTCGGAGAAGATGCAAAATAAATTAGAAGACAGCTCTCATCCAAATGTATATCTTTCTTACATTGAATTCTCAGCAACGCATTAGGGAATTCTGATTATTACACTTTGAGATAGGATTAGCTATTGCTTCCGAAAAGCCTGTGGCTATGCTTAGGCAATAAATGGATAAAAAATCCTAACTTAAGTAGGGATAGTGAACATCTACGTAGAGAATTAATAATATAAAAGGCAAGGCTGGTTGCGCAATGTATATAAGGGAAGAGATATGTGATTATATGAGTTACTGGTAAACAAGCAAGGGCAAAATTAACCACTATTAGATAGTTAGCAAAAAGGGAATCTCGATTGTATATAAAGTGCATTCAAACTACTTCGTTTAAGGTGATAAGGAGACTGGTAGTAAAATTTTTCCCAAAGTGATATGAGTAGGCCTTACATTTCATATGGTCTTGCTTTCCCAAAAGGTATTCTCATCCAGGGTGGGCTGCAGTTTCGACCCCGCATAGATCTTACCAGCACCCTCAGAGGGACTCGATATTATGCATCGCATAATATCGACACGTTAAACACTACGCCACAGTGCCAGAAGTATCCTTGGGTCACAGGTCAGATGTGAATTTCGAGAAAGACCAAGCAATTTCCCATATTACATGCTGTGGTAGGACTATCGATGAAGCAAAGTTGTATTTGCCATAGTAACCAACTACGTTACTTATGTTACATTCATAAGTAGGTTTCCAAAATGACCAGTAGATCAATTATATATTAGGTTCATTGTTTGCATCAAAGCTCATTGCCGTCAGAGTAAATCGAAGCCAATTACTTGAGCTATATCCAAGTTCATCATCCTTAAATG